ATGTAAGAGTTTAAATATATATCCTCATTTTTGTGATTTTAAAATTTTTACATTCAAATGTAAAAGTAAACGGGGTCGCGGCTAACGTTCGGGCACGGGGTTTTCATTCTTTCTCAATTTGAGGTAGAGTTGCACTCCGACCCCGTTCCTTGCCCCGAAACCATTCGAAAACCCCGCAACTCTAGTTTGTGGAGGTAAAAATATACCAAAATATTTTCAAATAAAAACTAAAGTTTCTACAATAATTCTAAACTACATTAATATTATCAGACACCGGATATAACCAACATGGATTAAATTATCAACATTTTCTGGTTGGTTTTTATAATTTTGAAATATTTTATTCTATTTTTAGGAAATGATGTATTTGTTTCCCATGTTTTTTGCACAAATCGAGATTGATGTAAATGAAATATTAGATAAGAATATAGCAAATGAAGCTAGTTATCCTGGCGGAGAAATATACTTAAATGGAATAAAGGCAAATTTCCTGCCACCGATTCAAAGCAATTATAAATTGACAAGATTAATATGTTTTTTGAATCTGGAAGGGCCTAGAAAAATTTTAAAAAGAGAAAATTTTGGCAAGGCTAAACTACTATATTACCCCTATTAACTTATTGATTAGTTAGAACAAGAGAGCTCTGAAGAGACTGCCTATTGGGTGAGAGAAGTCAGAGAAAAAATTTTTTTCTCTCCCCAAATAGGCAGTCTCTTCAGAGCTGTCCTGTTCTAACTAATCAATAATTTCAAATCGTACCCAATCCTATTGATACCCCCCCCCCTCCCCCATCTACAGTAGACAAAACCAAAACCTTTCAGGACGTTCCGCGGCGCAAACATTTGAGAGCCAAACATTTTCAGGGACGGTTCGATGCCCGAGCAAAAATTTTTTTCCTAGTTTAGCAATATCGATTTTGAGTTATTTGTGTACTTATTTTATTGTGTACTTATTTTTTTATTTGTGTACTTATTTAATTTTGTTTTTAGGGTAATTAAACCTAAATTTTTGGAAACTAAAGTCTTCAGAAAAATATTGAAGACTTATTGCCGGTACTGGTTCTTGCCGGTACTGGTTCATCTAATTGCCGGTACTGGTTCTACTTGTCGTCTTTTGAAGGTATTAAAAAATTTTTTAATTATTTTTGAATAATTTTCTCCTTTTAGTCTGATGGTCGTGTGCATGGAGTTGATTAAAACTTTCTCTTAGCTTTTCAATTTTTTGTATTTTCAAGTTGGTGGTTGCGGTCATTTGTTAGCTGATGAAGGCGGTGCTTTTTGGATTAGCATGAGGTTTTGAATTAAAATTTTTTTCTTTTACTGGATATCAGGGATGTCCCGGGTCAACCAAAACCTAGACTTTTTTCATTACGAAAATGTTGACAAAGTCTGACTCAACTTTTTCTCTCTTAATTCCGCTAACTGACCTGATCCGAAACCCGGACTTTTTTCTACCTGAAAAGCGATCCGAAGAAAACTTACCAAAACCCAACCCGATTTTTCTCAACACTGATATCACATCTATGATTTAAATTCTGAAAATTTTAATTTTCTTTTTTATAGCAATTCGTTATATTTTCTGTTTTGATCATGGAATGCTTGAAAATTCCTTTTTAAACAATTCTATGATTGACGAGATTGAAGATGTTCCAGATATCCAAACTGAAAGAGCATTTACTTAAACATTTTCAAATTAAAACAAAAGAGGAATTGATGAATATTTTGTATGGACCGAGAAATTATTGAGGCAATAATGCAAAATCGTGGTCTTACAAAAGTTGGTATTAATTTAAGATTGCCTGAAGTCGATTTAAAGTAGAACAAGCTACTATTAGAACTCAGGAAATTACTAAGGTTATTTTATTAATTTTTGGGAGGATATTTTACTAAAAAGACAATTCACGGAATTTTCTAAATCTAAGGGTATGTAAAGGATTTATAAATTAAGGGATCGATTACCTTTCCAAAGGAATCCGAAACTTCCTTTTCAGCCAGTCTTAAGTTATATTTTGTCTGGAAAGCTAGAAAAAACAGCATACTAGCGTGAAGAGAGCATCCCCATTCCACCATAGATTATGTGCTTATAATACCTAGATATCTGGGAATATGGGGTGATTATAGTTGATAAATTAGGAGTCAAATATATGCCAAGTTTTGAAGAATCAAAAAAAATTTTTAATCAAAAAAGGAAGAATTCTTCGACGTTAAATGTTGGCTGAACAAAAAGCTGTTGTAGAAGAACAAAAACCCAATCCAACAAAAATACTTCCCAAAAAAGAAGAAAAACAGAACGAAGAAAAGAAAACATTAAAAAGGCAACATTGTGTTGCTGCAGCAGAATTAGCTAAACAACATATTCGTGCAAAATTGGCAATTGCTTGTGTTAATACACCAAGGCCTAGTACTTCTGAATCTGAACCTATTTATTTGGAGAAAGGTTTTTGAAAAATTTTTCTCGACAGACATCCCCTATTTAGGCTAACTCTATTTAATGTACGTCCTAGACTCTATATAGTTGGCCATATTTATAGTGAAAATTAAATATCTTCCTCATTCCCAATAATTATGTATCTGGTAAATGGATAGGCAAAAAGGAACCCTATGCACAGGTTTTCTTTGATGTTGTTTCCTAGCCTTTTTTCTTCTAAATATTGTGAGTATGCTAGGATTGATAGCGACTAGCATTTCCACTACGTAGACAAGTTAAATTGTTTTCAATAACCTTAAAGTAGGGTGAAAGCTATCGAATCGTATGTTCACTGACATTCGATTCATAAATTTGGTTTTTTCCTTCTTAATATCTATTAAAAATTTGTATATTCCAATAAAATCTATATTCCAATTAAAGATTTCCACAACCATTAACATTTTGTGGAACGATGTGTTATTTTTGATAAATGTGAAAAACTTTCTCCTTCAATTATGAATTGAATAACAAGGAAAGTTATTCAAAGTGCTAAAGTTGTTATTGAAGAAATGGATGGATCAATATTAAAAAATGGAATATGAAAAAGAAGGTGAAGAAATGATTGAAATATTAAAAAAGTTTGTATTTTTTATATAACTCTATTTTCTTTTTATTTTCAGAAATCATTTTGCCCAAAGCTATTTATTCAAATGGGTCCTGTTTAAAAATCATGCTCTACATGTTAACTGTCTCCTATGTATGTTTATTTGAAGAATCGGGGCTTTTATTTTTAAATTAAAAAATTTTCAGGGATCCAGAAATTCGTATTTGGAGGAAAAATCGTTTACCGACACAATGTACACAAATAAATACTGGTAATTAAATTTATGGAATTTAATTTCAATAAATAATTTGGGAGTAAATAATACAGGAAATTAATTAAATATTCAAATAGGAAATAAGTTTTTGAATAACTAATTAAATAAATCTGAACTGGGCTAGATCTATATCTCTTTCAGCTAATGAAGGTTATTAGGAGCAAACCAGCATCTTTAGTTAACCGGGCTAATGTGCTTGCTATATATTTAAATGATTATTTTTAGCCAATCCCTAAATAACTTAGAACAATTTTTATTTTATCATTATAATTATTAAATCCAAAAAATTTTATTTAAACAGGTTTTTTACCCTTCCAAATACTCAATGTTGTCAAGGTGGTGATTTAAATAGAAATTTTGATTGGTTTTTTGGACAAGTTGGTTTTTCTTCAGTTCTGAAATATTTGCTGTAAATGATTTCTATTAGAAAAAATAATTTTTAATTCATAATTTTTAGGGGAATTTTGTTTTCTCAGAGCCGGAAATTCAATCAGTTAGAGATAATATTTCTCAACAGCAAGGAAGAATTAAAACATTTATGACATGGCATAGGTTTCTACATATATTTAAATAATTAAGAGCTTTACTAAAATAGCTTTTTTAAAAAGGCTTGAAAGGAAAAAGAAAAAAATAAATAAAATTAGAATAAATATAAGAAGTTTCTTTTTAATTTTTTTATTTAAAAAATTATTACGTTACACTTATTTAAAAAATTTTATTTTAAAGTTGTTCTCAACTAGTATTAATGTATCTATTTGGCCATTCATTACGTACATATACACAAGATGTAAATTTATTTTTTAAAAATCAATTTAAAATTAAATTAAAAGGTACAATAATAAAGTAGTGTAGCAGTACAGGCTGCTCAAGCATTGTAATCAACTTATGGACCTAAATATACAGTTGGAACTGGTGCTGACACTATGTTCGTATTTATAAAGAACGCTTAGTATTTTTATAATTTATTGAAGGAAAATATTAAGTAGATAAAAAATTGTCTCTTTGCAGTTATCCGGCATCTGGAGACAGCGAAGACTGAGGAAAAGGCAGAATGGGCGTTAAATTCTTTTTTGTTGTTGAACTGGGACCCGAAGACTGTTCGTGATGGAAATTAGGTATTTATTTGGAGGGAAAAAATTAAGGAATATTTAAACAAAATAATCACTTGAAAAAAAATAAATACACAATTTTTAATTACTTAGGGGATACTCCTCTTTAAAAATAAATTTATTTTCGTTAAAGATTGTTCCAAAGCATGTGAAACTTGGGAAGCAGTTTTGAGGTATTTTTAAATTTCTATTTAAATAATACTTTAATCAAAAAAAAGACTTCAACAATAAAACAATTTCAACATCCAAATATTTAATGGAATGCTACAAAAAAAATACTAATAGAACAAAACGATTTGTAGAGATTCTGATTCTTTATGTTTATATTGGACACAACAAGTAATTTTAATTTAAAAAGAATTTATTTATATAAAAAAAAGTTTTCAAGTTGAATTGTATTTTTTAAGTAAAAGATCTAATCTATATATATTTTTTTGGTTTATACAATGAAAATAAAAAAAGCATTTTATTACAAAGGAATTTTTAAAATCTAAATATTTTCATTCAAAACAAAAACTTTGTCCATATATATAAGCACATTATTCTAACTATAATATTTAAATTAATCAACAACTTAGCTAATTTAAAATAATTTATTTTTAGTAACTAATGGTCGGAAAAAAAAGATCATCTACTGATTCAAGCTACCAACCTCAAAGTCGACGACGTATAGACTCACCTATTACTGAACAACGTGTAAATCAGGCCAATAATAATAATAATAATCAACTTCAACAACAACAACAAATTCAACCTGTGATTCCACCAGATGTTTTGGCACAGGTAAAACAATTTTTAAAAAATTTTTACAAAAAAATAAAATTTTACAATAAAATAAAATTTTACTGTATTTTCTCGATTAATTCCTCTCCCTCGAATAATTCCCTTTCTCGATTAATTCCCCATGCCAGAATTGGGTTGAAACAATAATTCCCCATTCCCAAATACAAGACTGCACGTCAAATGCCAAAACTCGAATAATTCCCCTCCCTCGATTAATTCCCCATGCCATGGAAGGGTTGAGAAAATAATTCCTCGGGGGAATTAATCGAGTAAATACGGTTTCATATTAGTAAAAGCTTTTTTAATAAAAATTTTAGATCATGGAAAAACGGCGTCAACGGTCGTACTCAAACAAGCCGGAAAATTACAGCTTAGTACCACAAATCGACAATGTTACGCGATGCACTTCAACAAATTTGCTCTTGTTAGATTGGAAGAAAGACCATGTTTTTGAGTAATAAAATTTTATTTCGTTAATTCTTTCTAATCTTAAATCTCTAATCTATTATTACTGTCTCTCTTCAATCCTATATTTTAAAAATGAAATTTTTCATATAAAAAAAAAAATTAAAAATTAAAAAAATTTTTTTAATATAAATTTAATTTTCATATTAGTGAACTCATTGGATTTGTTGTTTTCTGTAAACGTGCACCTACCCCGCGTAATTTATGGGACCGTTGTGATGTGATAATTCAGCTCGGCAGAGAGGGTGAAACTGAACGCTTGAATGTATTTTCGTGGAAAAAAAATGCGGAAAGATTGGAAGAAGCTACATTGAATAGCGTAAGTTATTCTAAAAACTTATAAAAAATTTTCAATATTAAAATTAAATTTGAAGATTATTTTTTATAAAAATTCAATTTTAGCTTGTCTCGATTAAAAACTTAATGGTTGTTCCCGAGTCGCCCAACAGATCAGAATGGTCTGGAACTATTGAATATAAACTTAAATTTGTAAATGGATCAACTTTGCAAATATTACAACAACAACAAAATAACCAAATTCAACCTTTTTTAAATAATCAACAACGCGGAATTGGTACTGTCCCTACCCCATCAAGTTTACAACAACAACAACCTTGTACTTCGGCTTAAGCTTTGCGTTATGGTGGGCCTCCTCCTTTACGTGGACAGTTTACGGATGATGAGGAAGATGATGAAGATGATTTAACGGTAAATTGAAAAAAGTAAAAAGAATACATCTATTAAAACACATTTTTCAAAAAGAAACATAATTCGTATCACTTAATAAAAAATATATCTTTTTAATTAAAAATCAAATAAATTTTAATATAAATTAATTACTTATTAATGACTATATAGAAAAAATTTAATTAATTTGCATTTATCCATGTTTCTTACTATTAAAATCAATAAAATTGTATTTTTTAATTATTAATAAAAATGAATAAAAATTTTTTGAAAATTAAAAAAAATTTTGTTTTTATTTAATTAACATTTATATTAGTTCAAATTAACTAAAATTAAGTTTTTTTCTCAATCAAATTAAAAAAATTTTTTAAATAAAAAAAATGTTTTTAAAATTAACAAAAATTTTGGAAAATGAAAAAAACTAGTGATCGAAAATGTTGTTGAAATTTGTTTTAATAGTTGTATTGTTAAGAATAAAAAAATCCATACAAAAAATACTATTAAGCAAATCCGTGCATTAGCCGCTGTCATTAATTCCTGTCCAATACCTCCGACTTTACAAGTGAAAAAAAAAAATCAAATATTTATTTTTTAAAAAAAAAGTTAAATTTTAATTTAGCAATTGGCTCCCTGCGAGGCTACTGCACATGTCGAGTTAAATCAAATGTTTAATACACAAGTATCTATAAAAATAAATTTTTTCGTAAAAACAAAATAATTTTCAGGAGACTTTTTTAGGTGGTGATCGAATAAATGAACAAAATTCAAATTCACAAACTTTTGTAAATTTTTAATAAATTTAATCATTAAAATTTTCATATTTTATTTACTCAGGTCTCTCAAGCGCCTGGTCTATCAAATGCATGTGGTGAAAATACAGAAACTCATGTATGTTTGTTATTTTAAAGTTATAAGATGCTGTTAGCTTAGAAAACAAGTCTCCTCTATCCTAAATTATAGAATTCAACTATCGGCCGTACTCCTCCGGCTACACAAAATGATGTTTTCGATTCTAACTGGGAAAGATCTTTTGGGTTTCACCCTCCTGGTGGTTTAAATTTATGTGAAAGAAATTCTTTGCTTATTTCACGAGTAAAACTCCCATCAACATATAAACCAGAGGAAGATGAGGAAAAATGTCCCATATGCATTGAGGGTTTTTTACCTGGCCAAAGTGTAATTTTTTTACCTTGCTGCCATAAGATCCATAAAACCTGTTTTTGGAAGTTATCTAAAGATTATAGATGTTGTTCTATATGCAAAATGGACATGTCTAAAGGAATTTACTATAGGAATTAGTTTTTAATTGGCTGTCTTGTTGTCCAAATATAAAATTACATAATATAAAACTAAGACAATATAATATAAAATTTGGATTTTGAAATTTTTTTTTTGGAAAAAAAAATTATATTTGGACAACATTTTCTAATAGAAATTTCAGAAATTTAATTCCCAATCTTAAAACCATCTTAAAAATGTTGTCCAAATATAAAACTTATTATACAAATATAAAACACGTAAAATAATATAAAACTTATATTTGGACAACATTTTCTGGTACTTATAGGGTTTGGCTCCGCTGGAAAAAAAATAATTCTATCTTTTCCTTAATTTGTATGAAATGGTCAACTTTCTTCTTTTCAATTTTTATTCATTTTCCCGGTGATATATTCAAATGATAGACATTAATATAGAAAAGATTATCTTTAATTTTGCAATAATTACTGAAATGGCAAAAATGAAAATATTGATCCTAATGTTTGATGATATTGGAGAAAAATTATTTTTCCTTTATTAATGTCTATAATTTGTAAGAAAAAATAGAATTTTTCCACCTGACCCAAACCCTATAAGTACCCATTTTCTAATTAAAATTCTATAAATTTAATTCCCAATGTAAAACCACTCTAAAAAATTTTTTATTGCCTTTAAATACACTTACTTTTATTTCCCTGCCTTTTTAAATAATTTTATTTGTTTGCCTTTCCAAATTATTTTTATTAATAATATATCAATTCACTAATTATTTTTTTAAGGATTTTTTTTTGAATTAGTGAATTGATATATTATTCTTATTATAATGTATTTCTTTTGCCTTAAATAAATTTTTATAATTTTTAAACAAATTAGTAGGGAATATGAAATTAAAGTAACAGATTCTAGTAAGTAGTAAGTCCTCGTTTCAGTTTTGTCGTTCACAAATTATTGCGTAGTTAAATAAATACTATCTTCCTTAAATAAAGATAAAAGATCTTGTCCTGATATACTCTTACCACATTTTCAGTTATTTTATAAATAAACTATTAGTTTAAATTTAGATTGAAAACATGAGAAACTACTTTGTTATTGAAAGAATAGAGCCATTCGCCTCCCAATCACGCAATACTCGTGGAGAAATCGCCCACATAAGATTTAATAATCTGGCCGATCACCCCCGACCAGATTTGGCTCTAACTACACTTATTGAACAACTTTTGGATCGGGTGCTCAATGGAAGGCCAGCGCCTCTCCGCGTTGGTCTTCAGGTGCAACCCCCAAATTTCCATCACCCGTTTACCGTGCCACTCCGGCCATTGGAACAAAATAATGCTTCAGCATTAGCCGCAGCTATTGAGAGATTGAACGAAATATCCCAGGCCGGGATAGACCTTCTCTCAGGAACAACAACAACAAAAGTTGTAGCTGTATGGCCTTTAACTGGTCAACGCACTAATAATCCTGCAACACATTCGGGTAGGTTCATACTAGTCTTACATTTTTTTAAATAAATGTAAGGCAGTCATGTTCCTACAGGTAGTTGCAATCTTGACCAAGAACATGCAGTGTCTTCTCGATGTCGTTCAATTGTGCGCGTCCGCAATCCAAACGACCGCTACTGTCTTGCTCGAGCAGTAGTGATTGGACTTACAAAAATTACCCTTGTTGATCAAGGTGATGCTAATAATGGATCCGCTCATTTTAGAACTTTTTGTCAACAACAAGAACAACATGAAATTTTTGTAAACTACTTAATGGATATATCTGGACTTCCAAATGGATTACAGGTATTTTTTGAATTCATTTTTTTCAGATTTATTTTTTATAGGAATATTCGCTTGAACATGTAGCGATTCTCCAACGATGGTTGAATCAATATTATGGAGAAGGTCACATCCGTATTGTTGTTTTTCAAAAAGAGCAGCAGTACCGAGTTGTATTTAAAGGAGATGGAAGAGCAGCACGCTATAATTTATGTCTGCTCTTGGAGAATCGCCACTACAACTACATTGGTCGCCCTGAACAACTTTTGGGTGTCAAGCGTTATTGTATTGACTGCGAACGTTCTGTAACGCGATGGTCACATTGGGCCGGTTGTAGGGTTGTGTGCCGGTTCTGTATGCGCACAGGTCCAGACTTTCCTTGTCAGGTTAATTTCTTTCTTTTTTACAATTTCTATTCAATATTTGCTAGGAGGAGGAAAGAATTCCATGTCAAAACTGCGGCTTCATTTTTCCGCGTCGTTCCTGTTATGACTATCATCTCATCAACACTGCGCCAGATGAAATGATTCGACGTGATTCGCGCACATTTGCATCCATTTGTCAAATGAGGCGCATCTGTCCTAATTGTCATCATATTATCCTAGCTCAACAACGCCACGATTGCCATCAACAACAACGTGACCAACCTCAAATAATTTGTAAAATATGTAATGGTCCTCACACTGAGGAACAACCATGTTTTATTCAGCCATTAAATGCTGAAGAGGATGAAGAAGAAAATAATACTGAAAATAATGATGAACAACAACCTCAAAGAGTAAGAAGACATCGACGTCCAATTCGTCTTTGCTTTTTCGATGCTGAAACCAGTCAGGATGACCCTGTGCAAATAAGCCAAAATATCAATGGCTATAGGCATGTACCTCTTCTGATTATTGCAGAGGTAATAACTCTTTTATTAATCAAAATATAACTTGATTGTAGGTTATCTGTGAAGCTTGTATACGTGCTGGTATTAGTATTGAGAATGTTGGACAACGTGCCCAAGGGTGTTTTTGTGGGAAACCCAGAGGAGAACGATGGCGGAATTGGTGTTCCCCACCCTTCAAAAATGCTCCAGGAGACAACACCGCCTTTCCAAATAACATCACGTTCAATCCACGGCGTATGTTTTTCCATTCGTTCGACAACGCTGACCATAATCCAGTGGATCAATTCTTAGACTACCTTCTTAATCACGGTTCACAAAATATGCTAACAATCTGCATAGCTCATAATGGAGGAAAATATGATTTTCACCTGTTATTAGAAGCTCTTCATAGGCGTAGTCACCCACCAACAAGATTATGTACAACAGGACTCAAAATCTATTCTATGAGTTTAGGAGGTTATCATCAGAGAAAAGTGCTTTTTAAAGACTCGTTAAATTATTTCTTTTGCGAGCTTGACGCACTTACAAAGGTTTTTGCTCTGCCCGAGGATTTGGCTACTTCAAAGCCATTTTTCCCTTATCTCTTTATTCAAAGACAACATTTACATCAGAGGATAAGTGGGCTCCCTGCAATTCAATACTACCAACCTGAATATAAAAAGGCTGAAAAGAGGGAAAAGCTCATTGAGTGGTATGTTCAACAAACATCAGAACGAACAACAAACTTTCAGCTTCGTGAACAATTAATTCAATACTGTGTAAACGATGTAGCGATTCTTCGCGAAAGTGTACTCCGATTTCGACAACTTATCGGAGAAAACACAAAAAATCTTGACCCTTTTTTGTCGGTATCAACGGCAGCGGGACTCGCTTTAACAACAATGCGTCGCTGCTTTTTACCAGAGAATTGGATTGTTCACTCGCCTGAAGGTGGTTATTTAAGAGGACGACGAGCTTCAGCCGAATCGCAGCGATACATCCGCTTTTTTGAACTACAACATCCAGAGTCTGCAGGTCAAATTCAACATGCACAATGGGCAATTGGAGAAGCTCATGTTGAAGACTGCGGTTATAGACTCGATGGACTATGGCAAAGATCGCCTCCACTTCGCCCTTTAGCTATTGAATATATGGGATGCTATTATCACGGTATAATGTTTTAATAAATCTAATCAATTTTATTATAAATTTAAGGTTGTCCCGATTGCTTCCCAGTACGTAACCAAATCTTAGCAGCTGGGCGTACAGCCGAAGAGCTTTTTGAAAGAACCCAACAACGCCTATGGGAATTGGAGCATCAACATGGATATCAACTTCACGTAGTCTGGGGACATGAGATTAAAGAAAAGCTGAGTAACAACACACAATTACGAAGAAAATGGTTCGAAATTGACTGTGTTCGGCCTATGGATCCCAGAGAGGACTGCCTTAGAGGAGGAAGGACAGAACCCTTCAAACTTCACCACATGTGTGCTGAAGATGAAGAGATCCTTTACATCGATATTGTAAACATGAATCTAAATTTAAAAATAAATTATAAAAATTTTTAAGGTAAGTCTCTACCCTTATGTAATGAAGGCAAGATCTTTTCCTATTGGTCATCCAAATGTACTGACTCGCGACACGTTGCTTCTTCCACCAAACAACCCTTTGCCTTGGACAACTCCTGAGCATAACATCTATAAGGGGTTACTTCTTGTTCGAGTTCAACCTCCGAACTTTATGAATGGAAATCTTCCACCAGTTCTTCCATACAGAACTCATGATGGGCGACTCACGTTTCCTCTTTGTGCAAAATGTGCTGATAACAGACAGCAGCGGCCTTGCACTCATGGAGAACGTGAACGTTCCTGGCTGACTGGTTATACCCATGTGGAGCTTAATTATGCTTTGGAACGTGGATATAAAGTCGTCGACATTTATGAGGTAACAATATAATAATCATAACTATAACTTAATTTGGTATTTAGGTTTGGAATTATGAAAAATGGGATCCGAATCTATTTCGATCCTATGTCAACACATTCATTGGATTAAAGCAACAGGCTAGTGGATGGCCAGATGGTTGTGCGACAGAGTTGGACCGAGCTGAATACCTAGCTGAGTTTGAGCGAGTGGAAGGGATCTTCCTTAACCCGGAGAAGATTGAAACAAATCCAGGATTGCGAATGATTGCGGTGAGTTAACTTAGAAAAAAAAATAAAAATAAATTAAATTTTCAGAAATTATTAGCAAACTCGCTCTGGGGAAAACTGGCGCAACGAGTTTGTGGAACTGAAGTTCGATATGCCAAAACACCGGCAGAGTTTCACCAATTGTTAGAAGACCCAACAATTGATATGCTCGACTTTGATCATGTCAGCGAGCATTTTGACCGTTGTGTTGTGAGGAAGAAGCCCGAATTTGCCAAAGCACCAAATACCAACTGCCTCCCAGTAGCAGCATACGTCACTTCATATGCTCGACTCCATCTATATGAGTATATTGAACAAGTACATCAAATTGGCGGTGTTCTCCTGTACTGCGATACTGACTCCATCATCTATGTCGGCAAGCGTAATGGTCCGCGTGTACTTGAAGGCGAATATCTTGGACAAATGAAGCGTGAAATTCCATCACGCCGAATTCTGGAATTTATCGCAGGAGGGCCGAAAAACTATGGCTACCGACACGTCGACGCAAGTACAGGATTAGATGAGAGAGCAGAGCTTAAGATCCGCTCATTCCCGCTCTCTTATGCTACTCATCAGCTTCTAAACTTCAACACTATGAAACAACTTGTGTTGAATCAATTCAATGTTGATGGGGCAGTGTGAGTTTATCAACCAATTTATAAAAATAATAAAAATTATATTCAGTGATGACACAATTGCTGATGATGTCTTTTTCGTTGGTAATTCAATTGGTGTACAATTCCCTCAAATTGGAAGAACTCGTCGGTCTCAGCTTTACACCCATCTGGCCAGGAAGGAATACAGGCCGTGTTATGAGAAAGGCAGAATTATGCCTGGAATGGAAACCCTTCCTTTTGGACATAGAAGAAATAATTTGGTTATTTAAATTATTTAGCTTTTTAAAAATATATTATTTAAAGACATCAGCAGGACAGAGGCCTCAACAGAAACGACCAATTACATCGACAACACCACCACCAACTACAATTGATTTAAATTTACAAGATTTACCTGGATCTTCAGGTTGGACAGAAACTGATTATAGAAATAGATATTGTTCTTAATTATATTTTTATTAAAATTTGTTTATTCTGTATATATTTCTTTGAAATAAAAAAAAATTATTTACGTGGAAATTGTCTAATATTAGGTAAAATATCATTGTTAAAAACATTTTTCATTTCATGAATAGATTTTATTCCGGTCAGTATGACACGTCCGGAAATGTAACATAAGCATGACGCTTCTCCATCTCGTTCTTCCATTTTTATTTTGAAACGGAGCGCAGGAAAAATTGTTGGGTCGTAATTGGCTTTCATATTTTGTTGTCGAAGTTGTTTAAATAATTGCTCAATTCCTAGTTTGTGTTCATGTTTGTAGGCTCCGACAATATTCGTAATCAAAAGATTATTAATTCCAATTTTCTGGAAATTTCCTGCCGCAGTATTGGAAGCTCTAATACTTTTGACAACTCTACATGCTGTTTCATTTGCTAGTTCTGGAGTAGGAACACCTGTTAAAACTACTTTTCCTGATTGAAATATTAGTGCCGCCGTTGTTTTATTTCCTTTGTGTCTTAGTCGCATAATTATCGAATGGATTTTTTTAGGATTATATTCTGTATTAATTCCAAATCTTGCAAGCTTTAAATAATTTTCGGAGGAGAATTTAACATTATCTTTGAAGAGCTTGAATACAACAGTACAATTATGGATTTGCATAATATTTACTTACTAAAAAATAAAGACAATTTAATTGTGAATTGAAAAATAAAACAATTTATATTTGGATTATAACTTTTTATTTATCTAATTACATCCTCCTTTCATCTTGTTTTTGATTACACAAAGAACTTCAAGAGGGTAAAATGATCGATGATGTCCTCCACCAAACTCAATAATACATGGTAGGTATGGATGACAAAGTTTGAAATTATGCTTTACATAATAATATCCGCGGACCTAAAAAAGAAATGATATTATTATTTTGAATAAAAGCTTACGGTTATGCCCAAATAACCACTCATTGCTGGAACAATACTTGCTGATTGTACTGTAAGATCATGACAATGTACTAAAAAGTTGCGACACGCGGGTTTGAGATGGGATGTTCTTAGCTGGACACTTTGACGTAGATGTTCAACAATTTGACGACGAGCATCAAGATTATGGAATAATACATGTAATTCCTTGAACGAACAATTTTGTAGTTGGCAAAGATATTCAATTAATGGTATAGGCATATGTGTTTTTAAACTTATTGATGTTGTTGGCTTTTTAAGTTGCATATCTTCATTTTGCTTTGCTGGCGGGGGTGGTGTAGGTTCACGAAAAGGGTTTTCTGGTTCAGCGGTCCAATCCAAAGGTTTATCGTCTTGAGTAATTCGAAGGATTTTTTCGCTTGTATCTATATTAATTTCATCTTCAATTTGGTCGTCATCCATTTTATCTTCTGTTATGTCATCCATTATTGTAAGCAAGCCAAAAGCCGGGGTAATAATATCAACACCTTTCTAAAATTTAAATTTTAATATTTAAGTATTTAATTTATTTTACCTTTTCTTTCTCTTCAACTTCGTCTCCAGAGTCTTCAACCACTATTAATGGTGGTTGGTCCGTTTGAGCTTCGCTTGATGTATTTTGTTGTTGTTGTTGTTCTGGTTCAGGGTCGTCTTCAATAACCCCCCAAACCATAAGAGTGAGAAGAAATTCCATTACTTTCATTTTGTTAATTTTGAAATTCTAAAATCTATATATACTTATTTATAGAAATTAAATAAAATTTAAAAATGTCAGGTTTTGAAAAATTTGATTTAATACATTCACGATTCAAGCACCCTTTTACAATGATTGTATCGGGGAGTACAGGATCTGGTAAATCAGAATGGGTTAAAAAATTTCTGGAAAACTTGTCCGAAATGATTCCAGATGACAATGAGGGAGAAAATCAAATTGATTTGGTCTTATATTGTTATGGGGAGTTAAATAAAAATATTATACGTATGCAGAGAATGGGGTTTGTTAATAAAAATAAGACAAGGGTTATAGTTCATAATGGTCTGCCAGTAGGAGGTGAGGAATTTATACGTACAAAGGCCATTCAATCAAATGGAAAAATGTTGCTTGTACTCGATGACTTAATGGTTGGGATGAATCAAAATCTATTAGATACAATATTTACAAAAGGATCTCATAATTGGAAAATGAGTGTTATATTAATCACACAGCATTTGTTTAGCAAAGAATTAAAAATAGCTCGTAATAATTCACATTATTTATTGTTAATGCGAAATCCTGCCGGAGCCTTACAGATAAGAACACTTGCGTCCCATTTGTATCCTTCACGTTCAAAATATTTCTTAGAGGCGTATTCAGATGCTACTAAAGACAATTTTGGATATCTTTTAGTAGATATACATCCTAGTACACCTGAATTGTTAAGACTTAGAACACATATATATCGTGATGATGAGAGCAAAACAATAGTTTATATTCCAAAATGAGGAAAAAATTTTATACTAGCGATTTAATACAGCGAAATTTAAATTTTTTGCGTTCGATTTTTGATTGTTCGAAATCTAACAAAGTATTAAAAGAAGTACTAGAAAAGGCTTCAGATGAACAATTGTTATGTTTTGTGGAAATTTGTTTTAATTTATTAAAAGGACGTTTACCTTTTCATAAAAATAGAATTACAACTTTGCAAAAACATGCAAATTTGTTGCGTAAAATAAGTAGATCCAGAAGTGCCCCATCTACCAGAATTTTATTGCAAAAAGGAAATGGAATTCCACCGATTGCTGGACTTCTTGCCAGCCTTATCATCCCAATAATTACTGACAAAATTTTAAAATAATATAAATAAAAAAATTAACAATGAAATAATAAAGTTATGAAGAATGCAAATAGAATGTTTCTAATCCCCGAAGATATTTATAAAAATATAATTGGGGGTTTCGATGAGAATAAAGATTTACATTTAAGCGGAGATGGCACAGCTATGGGTTTGATAAAGGAACGTTTGCAAAATACTAGTGCTAATAAAGAAATATTAGATCCTACAACAAGAGCAATTCGTTATGAACAAGATTTTAAAAGATATAATAAACTTTTAAAAGAGAAGGAGGAAAAACCTATTGATGTTAAATTGAAAAATTTTGAAGAAATAGCGGATGCTGTTTCAAAAAATATTGACCAGAAACCTCCATCAGCATCAAATGCTGATCCCATTAAAAAGTCATCGCGTAAAGTTATAGTAAAAAGGAAACTAAATAAAAGATCAGTAGGTAAAATTGGTATAAGGAGAAAATATCCTGTACAAGATATTAAAGTTGAAGCTGAAGAAAGTGAGGGGAAAGATAAAAGTGATGAAGAGGAAGATGAATTTTTATCGGCAGATACCGATAATGAGCCTGGTCCAAAAGAACAAGCATTGAAATATATAAGACAACATGCCACTGAATTAGGTGTTTTACCAAATGGAAGGTTAGCGAGAAAAATAGGTAGCAAAGATTTCTTCATTACAAGTAATATAGAAGATCTTATAAATCATATACTTAAAAATAAGAATAAGCGTAAAAGACCAATTCCAACTGGTTACGACGAATTTATTCGTAGAATAAACAAACATACAGTTTTACAAAATTTGCTTTTTCCATCGAAATCTACTAATAAACAAGAAGGTGAAGGCGGTTGTTTCAAAAAAGTATTTTCATATAAACCGTCCTTATGGCAGTAACGTTAACTAATAAAAAAATAATAATACTTGATAAATTATATAAAAATGTTAATTCCTCAGCATGTTTTACCTCTCTTGAACCGCTTTTGCTATCAGCTAGGAAAGTTGATCAAAATATTTCACGACAAGATGTCAAGGACTATCTTTCAAGTCAAAATGTCAATACTCTTCATAGAAGAGTTGTTAGAAAATATAAAAGAATGCCTACATTAGCTCCCGGACTTCATACAGAATGGCAAGCAGATTTGAGTGTTTTTAATCGTATAAGTAAACAGAATCAAGGATACAAGTATTTATTAGTGTGTATAGATACACTCAGTCGTCAAATATTTGTCGAACCGGTAAAGAGTAAACATAGTGATAATATGATAAATGCATTTAGAAGATTATTTTCTCGTACTAAGGTTGTTCCATGGAAATTATTAACTGATCAAGGACTTGAATTTACTGCTAAGCAAGTACAAAAATACTTCAAGTCTTTGGATATGGAACATTTCTCTATGCTTACTTCACCTCTGTGGCATGCGGGGATGGCAGAAAGAGCGAACAGAAGCATTAAAGAAAGATTATATAGGTACTTCACAGAAAATAAAACTTTAAAATGGGTGGATGTCATCCAAAAAATTGTTAGCTCAATAAATAACTCATTTAACTCCAGTATAGGTATGCGCCCAACTGATGTCAATTTTAAGAATGCTGAAAAATTAAGGCAATTACTAAAGAATAGAGCAATCGAGACACATGCCCCTTCTCAATGGAGAAGGAAAAAGTTTTCAGAAGGAGATAGAGTGCGAATCGAAAAATATAAGCATATATTTCAAAAGGGCTATTTGCCAAATTTCACAAATGAAATTTTTATTATTGATAAAGTCCGCTTAGTTCCCTGTCAACCTCCTACATACAAAATTAAAGACTCTAATGGAGAACAGATTAGGGGGTGGTTTTATTCTAATGATTTAATTTTAGTAAAAGAGAATTCTAAAAAGGATGAGAATTTATATGACATTAATAAAGTTTTGAAAAAAAGGAAACGCGATGGGGAAGATTATGTTTTTGTCAGTTGGAAGGGTTATGGCCCGGAACATAACAGTTGGATACCCGCTAATTCTATAACTTGGAGATAATTATACATAAATTAAAATTTAATTTTTTAATATGTAAAAAAAAATGACTTCATTTTATATTATTATTCCTTCTAACACAAACATTGAAGGAAATAGAACAAATTCCTTCCGAGTTAGGTTACCTCATAAGTTGCAATTTAATTCTGAGTGGCATGTTGGCCTAGCCGTTATGGTTTATCCACACTCCTGGCCGTCGTTAGGTA